AAAGAAAGAAAGAAAGAAAGAAAGAAAGAAAGAAAGAAAGAAAGAAAAAAGAAAAGAAAGAAAGGAAAGATCTTGAATTCTGGTCATTCTGCGTTACTTCCTGAGTGCTGGGATACACATATATACCACAGTACCTGGCTTGGCTTATTCTCATATTTTTAATAGTGGATCATGCTTGGAGACATTTACCTTCAGCCTTTGGCATGGTGTTGAGTGCCTCCTAAACTTGAGATAATTCAGTTTAACAGATATAATTTAAAAATTACAAATTTAAAATTTTCTTTAAAATTAAGTTTTGCGGGTCTGGAAAGACAACTCAGTGGTTAAGAATGCTGCTTGTTCTTCCAGAGGACCCAGATGCAATTTCTAACACCCATGTGGTGCCTCACAACCATCTGGGACTTCAGTGGGGATCTGATGCTCTCTTCTGGCCTCTGTGGGTACCTCATCATGTGGTACACAAACATTCAAGCAGGCAAAACATCCATATACATAAAATAAAAATAAATATTAAAAAATGCATTTTTGTAAGTGACAAGTTTTTGAAAGCCATTTATCATGATTTGGATCAGTGTGTCTCCTGTTTGTCATTAAATCCAGGTGTCAGCTGATGGTTATGAAGTAGAAAATCTCATCTCTGAAGACCTCATAAAGAGAAGCCATGGCTTTAGGACAGAGTATTTCATTAGACCTCCAGTCTATGTGACAGTTTCCTTTCCCTTCAATGTGGAAATCTGTAGGATTAACATAGATCTCACAGCTGGGGGGTGTCAGAGTGTCACCGGCCTGGAATTATACACATCCACCTTATCTAGCAGAGCCTCTCGGGATTCGCAGGAGTGCTGGACTGCAGGCCCAATGGAGACACTGGTCCCAGACAAGGAGGCCTTCACCTTGGTAGGCAAAGTCCTCCTGAAAAATCAGAACCACGTGGTGTTCACCCACAGGGGCTTCAAGGCCAGGCCACCTTTTAGCCCAATGGAAGTCACGCTCCTCTCTCCTACTGTGGTAGCCCAGGAACTCTGGAATAAAGGGGCTCTTTCCCTTAGCCATGTGGCCCACCTCAAGATCGGCATCACCCATGTGACAGGCAGTGGCATCTCTAGCATTAAGCGTTTAGAGGTGTGGGGTCAGCCAGCCAAGACCTGCTCTCAGGAGGTGATAAATAGTGTCTTGCTGATAGCATCAGAAAGCCTGCCTCAGGACTCAGGTCTGCACAGTATAGTCTTGCCCATGGAGAGTGACTGTGACGCTAGGGTCCAGTCTGAGGGCCAGCAGGCTCCCTGTACCTTAGAAGAGATGTCTGAGGTCCCAGAGGAGTTCCTAGATCCTATCACGCTGGAGATCATGCCATGCCCCATGCTGCTGCCCTCAGGCAAGGTCATTGACCAGAGCACTCTGGAGAAGTGTAACCTTAGTGAAGCTGCTTGGGGCCGAGTGCCCAGTGACCCTTTCACAGGGTTAGCCTTTACTCCGCAGTCCCAGCCCCTACCTCATCCTTCCCTGAAAGCCCGGATTGACCGTTTCCTACTCCAGCACTCTGTCTCTGGCTGCCAGCTGCTTGGGAGAGCACAAACTCCATCAGCAGTGACCCCTTCAATCATTACCCTACCCTCAAGGAAAAGGAAGTCAGGGCAGGCTGAGCACAGCTTGGACTACAGCCATAGCATGAATGCTGCTTCCTCTGCCGCAAGCCCTCTGCTCTCACCCACTACCTCAGAGCCGATGGCCAAGAAGATGAGAGCCCCCAGCGAGCTCAGCCTGACAGACATGGACTGTTCAGCAGGTAATCCCTCTTCTGTGCCCATGGCTGTCATCCTTGCTCTTCCTGCTGGCCTTAGCCACTGTCCTTAGCTTTATGCTTTAGGACCTGAGATTTATGTAGCTGGGCCCACGTCTCTTTCTTCTTGTTGTGCTTGGCCCATAGAGAACCTGGAAGCCCCCGAGGTTTGTGTATTTTCTCTTATTATTTGGAGATTTCTCTTTCTTAAAATTTTGTTTGTTTGTTTATAGAGAAAGAGCTTTAGCTCAGGCTGAAGCTCACTTTGTAGTCCTGGCTAGTGTTGAACTGTGTTGATCCTCCTGTCAAGCTTCCATACCTGACTATTCCTGAGTTCTGTCACCATGTTTTGTACCTTCATCCAGTGACCTTGCCTGCTTTGTGTCCCTCTGTGCTTTCTGGAAAGATCAGTGCTTTTGCCTGTCTTGAATCCTCCATTCAGACCTGCTGGGAAGAGAAACAGTAGGTCCCTGTCTTCTTTTCTGGAATCTTCTATATGCCATGTGTCTGGACGCCTTTGCAGTTCTGTGTCTAGTCTTCCCAGAGGAGATTGATGGGAGTGCATTGTGGTTCTCCCTGTCTCACTTACCCATGAGGTGCCACATCATACAGAAAAGTGGAGAAGTGTGAGGTTCGAGGCCTCCCTCTTAGGAAGAATAGAGCCGGTAAATCCGAGAGTGAATTGTATTGTAGCTGAGTATGAGATTTTAAGCTGTCTAGCTTCCCTTCCTTTTCCTGCTGGCATCCCCAGTGACCCCCGGAAGCAGCATTCCTGCTACCACCTGAGCAGAGCAGCCCTGGCTTGCTGTGAGCCGTGGAACTTTTTAAGACTGATAAGACATGTCGTTTTTGTTGTTGTTGTTTTTGGTTTTGAGGCAGAGTTTCTCTATGTGGCTCTGGCTGTCCTGGAACTTATTCTGTAGACCAGCCTGACCGCAAACTTGGAGATCCACCTGCTTCCTGAATGCTGGCATTAAAGCCGTGCAGCACCACTCCTCCTCTCTAAATTAAGAGATGTAAAGAGGACTTTTATTTTTTTTTTCCTTTGGTATTTTGAGACATGGTTCTCTGAGTAGCCTTGGCTGTCCTGGACTCACTTTGTAGACCAGGATGGCCTCGAACTCACATCAATCCACCCGCCTCTGCCTCTGAGTGCTAGGATCAAAGGCATGTGTCACCATGCCTGGCTTCTTCTTCTTTTTTTGGGGGTAGGGGGATGGGGTCTTATGTAATCTAGGCTGTCCTGGAACTCTGTATTACTAGGATGACTTTGAACTTCTGATTCTCCTACCTCCACCTCCTAAGTACTAGTTTCACGGGTATGTGCCACCATAGAGAGTAAAAGACACACTCCTCCTTTCATCTTCCTACTGGTTGCCAGTATTACTCTCTATTTTTTTAAAGGTTTTATTTATTATTATTATTATTATTATTATTATTATTATTATTATTATTATT